ATCTAATCAGTTGGTCTAAAACACGGACAGAAGTGGAGAAAAAACGCACAATTGGCGAAGACCAGTGCGAACGTTGAAACGTCTCGTCTTTATGCCATTTACTCTGATGCAGCGCTTCCTATCAACACATCGTGACTAATGATGCACAGCAACAACAACTGGCCGTCAATCTTATATCTCTACAGACGTGTCAATAGCAGCTTATTTGCATTGAATCCGGTCATAAGCTTTTTCCAAGTCTACGAAGCACATGCAAACTAGAGGAAAGAAATCCCACTATTTCTCAGCGATCTGGAGTAGGGCGACGATATGGTCAGACATGGTTCGGAATGAGTGAAGGCTACTGTGCTCTTTTTTAATCTTGGAATTAACTATTCCGCGGGACTTCCTTTCCAATACCTTTCCGTGAACTTCCTCGGGAGGCTCAGTAAGACAATGACCCGATAACTGCGGTATTCGCTACGATTGGCCTTTGTAAACAGAGTTATTAAAGCCTCCATTTTCCAGTTCACGGATGCCTTCCCCGTAGTTATTCTAGTTTGGCAGGCACGTGTTAGCCACAACATGTCTTGTTCGCCTAAAGTTTTAAGCATCTCCATGCGGATTCCATCGATTCCAACATTTTAGAGCTTCGGCGACTTTATCCACTGAAAGACTAATATCCGTTGCTTGCTGCTTTTCAGGCGAGTCATCTTGCGGTTGCTCGGGATTAAAGACTTCCTCAAGGTATTCTCTCCATCACCTGAGTATAGTCTTTTGCTAGGAAGCCACCTGAACTTGTCCTTTAGGACTCTTATACTGCCCTTTTTTCCATGTCAGAAGCGACGCATGGCTTGCCAGAATATTCCACTTGCAGTCTGTAAATTTTATTCCAGCACGTCATGCAATTCTTCAAATAAGGTAATCAGTTTTCACTTTAGCCACAGTCATAGATGTCAGTTTGTGCGCTTGCTCGTGCCGTATTCGAGTTGAAGGATCTCTGTTGCTAAGCCACCTCTTGAATACAGCCGATTGAATCCGATCCCCGGTAGGGAGCTCATTTCTGACCGCTAGATTCAATCCAACGTGTTTTAAGCAGCGGCATTTAGCTGCTACCTGAGAAAATCACTTTTAAACGGCTTCCACTCGGTTTTCACGTGAGCCATCATCACCGGAATCTTTCAAACCGTCGTTCGATATTGTTTGCAAGTTTTCCGTCGTGTCAGCAGAAATGTATATTTCCTAATTATTTCTACGGTATGTTCTGGCGCCAGGTCTTAGCATGGTAATCTATCGCTTGCAGTGAAGTGTGCTGGCCATAATGTGGTAATGCGGTTTACAGTTTTGCGTCTCTTCTAACGCGGATGCCCACCGCAGAGCGTCGTAGGTCAGACGATACGATTATCAGATTTTGATAATTGACTTTTATGCATAGCTTCCCTACAAAAAGCATGCTTCTGCAGGTGATGAAAACATACAGTCTGTTGTTTTCACAAAAGCACAACTAGTTCATGCCGCTATCGTTAAAATCGCTAGTTCCGATCTTCTGAATCACTCCACGTTTCTGTGTCTGCTCCAATATGTGTACTGAAGTCCCCGGTCAGAATGATGGATTCCGTAGTCGGCACATCGTTCAAATCAACTTCTATTTCATTCAGCAAGGACACATATTTTGCCTTTGAATTAGTTGCACCTGTGACACATCCTAAGCTTTTGCCTGTTGCAACCCAAATTGGAGGATTGCAACTGTCCGGTGATTACATTTTCAAAAGTTTAATCGATAATATTTCATCCGACTAACGTCAGACTTCGACAGGTGGTACAGTGGCAACACCTTCGTATAATACGAATGGGTTGATCATCAATTAACGAATTAAATATTTGTAATTTCATCTCATTATACAAATTTTAAGACATGCAGCAAATATAGAAGCCATCATGACCCACTTCCGCGTTGGAGCACGACTGAATGGACGCTTTTATAAGGGATGAGTTTTTTGTTAACCAAGCTGTAATCTGTGGGTTGTTCACCTGTATTTGATGAAGATGTTCTTTGAAGTGTTATACGAATGCTGATTAGGATTCATCTCCGTTAGTGAATGCTGTCTGCTAGACGCGTCTTAATTTTCTTTTTGTTACATCTATATAATATTTCTTGCAGCCCTGTCGCAATATTTTATAGACCACTCAATTCTAATTCGTATGGAATATGTCTAGGTTCCTTGTGAAGAATCTTACCTAGAGGCTCTTCTTGAATACTTCCTCCAGGTCTTTAAATATGCTTTTTACATGGTGACATTGAAGGATGATTTAAGTAAAGGAATGAAATAGTCAATCTGTCTGTTTTTGCGATTAGCTAAATTGAACGAAAGTATTGAGATGTGATGTCTGAGAATTCTCGCTGAATGTGCATTTTTGCAAAAGAATCCTTGCAGCATGTTTATTTCATTACTTGGGCAATACGTAATGGCTCTTCTCGGCACATTGTTCTCAATGTTTACGAAGACTGGAGGATTCCAAGATGATTCAGAGCTCAGACACCTGGTAGAATGTTGCACCGTACAATAAGCAGGAAAGATCAAGCTATTAGAGCAAGAGAAATATTCACATGCGAGAACTTAGTTTTCCGGTAAGTCTCTACCGTTAACTAATTTTCGCTGGTAAATCTAATTCAGATAAAGCCTTTATGTTTATGAAGTCCAAGAAA